ACTGTGGTAGGCAAGACAAAAAATTGACTAACAATGTAAACTACAGTCTTATGAGATGTCTGGGCGTGTAACTGTAAAATATATCAGACTGCCAACAATAATGTGATATAGCATGGATCAGATAATGGAGTCCCATCAAAGGAAAAATATCAGGCATTGAGTTCTGAAGGCATCTTAGCCGTCTGAGTGTATGACATATGATCCCTTTGTATAATATTCAAGTCATGTTTGGATTGAGTGAGGAGATAACTTTGAGGAGAAGAGGCAACTTTAATACCCAAGAAATGCTGGAGCTAACCCAAATCCTTTATTTCAAAATAATCCAGTAACTACCTCTTCAACAACAAAATACAATCAGTATCATCACCTGTAATGATCATATTATGAGTGTGTAATGAAAGTACAATAGACAGGGAGGAAGAGAGTCGCAGAAATAGCAGTTATAGTCACTAGCACAAAAACTTAAGTCACAAATGACAAAAAAATTTGGCAAACTATGCCCCAATGAAGCCTATTTAAGACCATATAATGGTTTGTAGAGTTTACACACCTGACCAAGACTGTGATATAATTTAGGAGGAGGAGTCATAAAAGCTTCTTTAGTTAAATTTCCATTAAGAAAGACATTTTTCACACCCATTTGAGAGAGAGACTATTGATAAGTAACAACTACTGCAATCACAGTGTGAACACTGGTCATCTTAGCAACTGGAGCAAATTTCTCTTCATAGTCTATGCCATACTCTTGAGCAAATCCCTTTTTTACCAATCGGGCCTTGTATCATTCCACAAAACCATTAGTTTTGATCTTAATTTTATAAACCTATTTACAACCAACCGTGTATTTGTCAGAGGGTAATGACATCAACTCCCAAGTGCCAGCTGTATGTAAAACAATTGGCTCCTCATCCATAGCCTGTTTCAAGAACAACCGCCCTATAGGAGGTAGGTTCATATAAAGAGTCTATAGAAGCTAAGAACAAAAATCATTTGAATAGAATAGTTAGAGAAACCAAATTGATATAGACACTTACGAGGTCGCCGAGGATAACGAGTAATATGATCCACATTTTTAGAACCTAATTGATAGGAGAAAAGGAAGGCATTGTAGTTGTAGAAGAGACGGTTAGAGTCTTGCGAGCATAAGTATGCCTAATAGGGGGACGAGTGACAGACAAATCAGAAGAGGAAGACACATCAGAGAAAATCATATCACCAACATTAGTGTCAACGGGAACATCAGTGAAAAATGGGTCAATGTAATGGGTCAATGTAAATAAGATCAGATTTATGCAAATATGAAGAACTACATAGAATAGAAAATAAGGGAATATGCTTAATGAAAACAATATGATGAGAGACAGTTTGTGTGCAAGCCACAACGTAGAAACCAACAAACTACTAGGAAAAAAATTAGCAAAATGGGATAGCAGTAACTCAGCAAACCAAGAAAACTACATGCCAACACCCAGAAGAAGATCTAACTGCACAGTGACAAGAACTTAAAAGTTGACCGGAAGAGAACAACAAATTACAAGCACAAACCAGTTCAAGGGCCTCCGAAGTCCTCGATCAAGGGCCTCCAAAGTCCTCGATCAAAGCACCACCCCCCACTACCAAGCACGCCAACCATTATGTACACCAGTCTCCCCTTGCCCACAATATCACTGCCTCCACTTACTTTTCCCCACCTACACACTCGCCATACACCACACCGTTGTTGTAGAGGTGATTTGGGGATTATAAAACTTGTAGACCAAAAAATCGAAAGCCAAGTAATGAATGAAAAAGACCAATTTTGCGAGAAATTACAAAAAAAAATAAAAATTGACATACAATAGAGTCCTTGCTCACAAAGATTCATTGTATGAGAGAGAGATGCGATGGAGTGGTTCTCTCTTAAAACGATTATTTTTCGTGTCATATGAATGCTGTTTGATTGTGTAAATAGATAATTAAAACCTGGAAGAATATAATTGTGGAGAGTGGAGATTGAAGTGTTTCTAAGGAGAGAGGTGGGAGGGGGAAGATAAGCGGGGTAGAGACCTTGGAGGGAGGAGGGATTTCTTGTGGTTTAGTGGTTTCATCAAAATTTTGTTTTAGAGGATTGTTTCGATTACCAAGGAAACGAAAATATTTCAAAAATATTTCGGACACAGAACGGAAGTTGATAAAAAATTTGAGAACTTATTTTCAAAATATTAGTAGAAATATACTGAAATATCTTGAAACAATTCAAAAAATTACAAATGGTGGAACATGCCAAAAAATCTCGAAACAAATTGAAACATTCCGAAATACCTTGAAGTATTGGAATTTCGATTCAATTGTTGATTCATTTTGGTCTCCTTAAAAACGAAAACGCTTTGGCCGTTTCAAGTATAAATGAAATTTTCATCTTTGGGTTGTTGTGACCGGAGGAGTTTATGGGGTTGTGCTATGAGGGGAGTACAAGTTATGCTCGGGAAGTAAGGTGGATGGGGAGAGTGGAGGTCTTGAATGGAGGAGGGGCTGCCTAGGTTGGGTCTATCAGTGGTGGTGCTGTCCTAGGCATTGGGGTGTTTGGTGGGGTTGGGGTGCAATGGTTGTTGGTAGTGGGCTGGAGATTAAAATTTTGGGGATTAAATTAGTTTAAGCAACAATAATGATTAGATTTGCTTTGCTTTCAGTATAAATGTGGCTCAAGTGATTCAATCAGTAGAGTTATGAGTATTTATATAATTATATAACTTATGTTTAAGATTGCAACTTATAAGGTATTAACAAATAATTGAGTTGTAAAATTGTTACTGATTGATTATTAAAATTATTAATGAGATATTATTTACCGGGGGGGGGGGGGAGTTGAATGTTCTTTACATTTGATATATTTGGGGGCAAATTTTTTTTCTTTGTAAATGAGGGTATTTCTGGATATATTGGGTTTTTTTAGATGACTTCATTTGTTTTTGTTACACCATCCAATGGTTGGCTGATGGAAGGGGTCTGTGTGAACTCAAGGGATCACTGTGCTATTATGGAAATGTCAAGGGTTGTCATGTAATTTGACCCAAAATCAAGTGGTCTGTGAGGAAATTACACTTAGTTATATGGAAAGAGGGACTAGAATCGCAATTTGGTGAATTAAGTATATAGGCTCTGGCTGTTTATTGTGTGATCAGCAAAGCTACAAAAATTCTATAAGAGTTGTAAGACATCTGTGTTCTACATGATTGAATGCAAAGCAGCTAAAACATCAAGTCTTGCAAATGAGCATGGGTAGAATGCAAATTCTGAGGTGGATGTTGGGAAAGTTATATGTGATAGTATTTGAATTGAACACACTTGTAAGATGGTAGATGGATGCATAATCGTATAGACAAAATTGACCAAGATGGAACGACCTTGTTCAATAAACACTAATATTGATGGAAGCCTATGCCGAAACATCATGAAACATTCCAAAACACCTCGAAGTATTGAAATTTTGACTATCACTAATTTGTTTTGGTCTCTTTGGAGATGAAAACTTTTCGGTCGTTTTGACTGTTTCGAAACGAATATTTAGATCCTTGACAACGGTGATCTTCCATCAGCAATGATAAAAAATTCATTTCAATGATTTGTTTCGATTACCTAGGAAATGAAAACTTTTTTGGAAATAGGAAAAAATTGGGAATTTATCTCCAAAAATAGTCTGAAACATTGGTCAAAATATACCGGAATATCTTAAAACATTAGTGAAAATATGCTGAAACATCTCGAAACATTTAAAAATATTCCGAAACTTCTTGAAACATTGGAATTTCGATTCCATAACTGGTTCATTTCGGTCTCTTTGGATATGAAAACGTTTCAGCTGGTTTGAAACAAAATTTTGATCCTTGTGTATGAGACATGATTTCGTATTTAGCTTCTGCACTAGATTGTGCTTCCACATTTTGCTTCTTTACTTCTGAAACCGACCCAATTATCACTGAGAATCAAGTCATCTGGCTTGAGCATGAAACCTTTGTGGGAGCCATCTTCAGGTATCTCATGTTCTGGTACAGAAAATCCCAGTGTGGTTGCCTTGTATTTTTCCTAAATTGACGAACCACTCCAACAGCAAAGGCTATACCCAGTCAGGTCACAGTCACATATTTTGGTTTCCTATTTCTAATTAATTTCAAGAGCTTGAGGAAGCTGGGAAACATCCAGCATCTATAACCACTGACCATGTATTTCAGGCCCACTGATGGGCATTGGGATTATATTGACCAGAAACTCTACATAACAACCAGGGGTCACATAATTTTACCATTGAATGCCAAATTTGGGTCTCAAGACGACAGATTAAGAAGTCGCTTCCAGAGCTTGAGGAAGCTGTTAATTTCTATGCAGTCTCTTATTGACTCAATTAGGTTTGCTTAGTTCAAAAAGAAAAAAAAAAGGCTTGCTTTGCGTATGAGTACCTGGTAACCATTGATGTTGATATTTGTGATGCTTAGAACATAATTGCTTCTTAGTGACATTTGTGTATTGTTTTCTTGAAGCATGATGTGTTACATACAATTCATTATGCTATTTTGTAGTGCGTTAATGGAGTATCTCAAATGATTTTTGATGCAGCTTGATGTATGGGGTAATGAGTTTGCTTAATGTGTACAGTCTGTTTATATGTGTACATTGTCCCATGCTGTTTAATGTGTACATGTTGAATGTGGCTTGCGGATGGTAATATCTCTCTTGTGTGGTCACTCGAAATATGCACAACTTCCACCAATAATGAGCCCCTGATTACCTCTAGTTGTTGAGGACATACAGAAAGAATATGCACATGTGCATGCGATTTGGTAGGGCTGCATGCTAAGTTGCTGTTGTTCCACTGCCACTGTCAGCACACAGATGCGAGAATTTGTAATGGCCATTATAAGTGATAAATCTACTGTGTTAAAAAACAAATTTAACGGGACATTTTGAAGAGCTGGTGTATATTTGCTCCGTTTTTTTAAGCTACAAAGTAAACATCATTGTTTATAATGGAAGCTGTAGCTGCCAAATGGCAAAAGTTTGGAGCTGCCAGTAGCAAAGATATTGTGAAACTTTATGGTAATTAAATGCATGGGCAATACTATTTACAGACTTTTTCCTACTGCAATTCAAAGGTAAATTAGGATTTGAATAACTATTGATGATATTCAACACCTGAAATGAACCTTTTCCTCTATATTTCTCTAATTGTAGGTGAATGGAAGGATGACCAATCCCCTGCTAGCACAGATCTGGTAGTAGATTGGACACCCTCAATGGACCGTTGTTTCATTGACCTTATGCTAGAGCAGGTACACCGAGGGAATAAGATTGATAATACATTTGATGTACAAGCTTGGGCACATATGGTTGCATCATTTAATGAAAAGCTTGGACTCCAGTATGACAGATATGTACTGGAAACTCGGTACATATGCTTAATGCAACAGTACACCGACATCAACGGTCTTCTCAATCAGAATGGATTTGCATGGGATGAAACTCAGCACATTGTTGTAGCAGACGACGAGATTTGGGAAGCTTATGTTAAGGTGCACTTCTGATTCCTTTAAAAATAGTTTAGATCAAAATGCTTATGCTTGTTACACCTTTGAGCCTTCTTTTGATTCCTATATCACTTATTATGGAAGTTCTACAATAACACGGTAAAAGAAACAGATAACTGCTTGGACCCTACAAATAATATTGGTTCTTCTTGTTTGCTATTGGCAGGAACATCCGAATGCAATCTTGTACAGAAATAAAATCTTACAACACTACAATGATCTATGTGTTATCTTTGGAATCGGATTGATGGATGGACGTGTGGTTTGTCAGACTCTAGTTAATGAATTTGACCATAGTCCTTTAGGCATGGAGATTAATGAAACTTGTCAGCTTAAAAACCCGGTTATGGGAAAAGAGACACCTAGTGGAAGGAAAAAGCGGTCAGCTGTGACACCTTCAGCCTCGAGCCGTTCTAGCAAATTGCAGAAAACTGGCAAGGACATACAAAAAAGTTTTAGTGACATGGAAACCATGGTCACTAAATTGGTAAACAAGAAGGCAGACAAGAACCATATCACAATAGAAAGTGCCATTGATGCACTTCAAGCCATACCAGACATAGATGATGAGCTTCTATTAGATGCTTGTGATCTTTTGGAAGATGAGAAAAAAGCCAAGACATTTTTGGCATTGGATGCCACCCTGCGGAAGAAGTGGTTGCGTAGGAAGCTCGGTCGCTAGTGGCTGTACATAATGAGATATTGGCCTTATAGTTTCAATTTACTCTAGTTGGTCAGCAATTTCTTTGGAGTCAGATGGTCCTTTAAGCTAGTTATGCAAAAATTGTTTTGAACTATTGTGCAGTATATAGGTCTGCGAGTTTTTGAGCAGGTTTTGTTCGCGGGCAGTTGCTTATAAGCTGTTAATCAAATGCTATGCAGAATTTTTTTCTTGGGCATGCATTAAATTGATATGGTTGCAAAAAGACGACGAGCGCAACAAGAGAGGGATGGTTGTAATCCATTGTTGTGCCACTTGCTTTCGAGTTATTGTGCATGAAATTTGGCTGCTAATCTCAACAACCCCTCTCAAAACTAGGTATCATCATCCCTGATGAATCAATGTAACCTGTTTCTATGAGTTGTAAACAATAAAACAATATATATATAAATTTTTTGACATTACCATTGCTAGCTAGGGGGGAAAACAAGGATGAAATGATCCTGGCATTTACAATCATACTTGGATGGAGCTTATAATCAGTTTCATTTCCATATAATTCTACTAGTTATTGTCCGTCTTTGAAGGCATGAAATAGTAAAAAAAATTGTCAATTATAATCATATTTGTATCAACATCCAAAATTAAATCACAAATGTTAGCTTGAGAGAATTAACACAATATTAGAGAAGGACAGAGAGTGGTTAAAAATTTAACTTAGTTCTCATACATCATTTATATTTATAGTTAATTCATAATAACAAGAATTACACATACACCCTTTTATATTTACATATAATATTCTAATATTCTAAACATTTTTCCTCAATCTGGACTATATATATATATATAATCCAAGTTTAGAACAAATCGTTGTAAGACGTGTACGATTCAATGCTTTGGTAAACATAATTACAAACTAATCTTTAGTTTTCACAAATGGAGTCGTAATCTCCACTGCTACTATCTTGTCTCGAATAAAGTGACAATCAACCTCAATATGTTTGGTTCTCTTATGAAACACTGGTTTGTTAGCGATATGGATAGTTGTCTGGTTGTCACAAAACAACTATAAAAGGGGCTGAACAGGAAAACCTAATTTCTTGGAGGAAGTGTAGTAACCAAGTCAACTCACCTGTCATATGCGTCATTGCCCTATACTCAGTCTCAGCAATGGATTTTGCTACCACAGACTGTTTCTTACTTTTTTATGAGACAACATTACCTCCTAAGAAAGTATAATAACCAGTAGTTGATCTCCGATTAGAAGGACAGCCAACCCAATCAACATTTGAGAAACCTTCTATTCTAAGATGTCCATTAGTTCGATATAACAGTCCAATTCCAGGAACTTGTTTGAGATATTGCAGAATACGGGTAACTGCTTTCCAATGTGGTACTCTAGGACACTCCATGAACTGACTTACCATACTGACTGCATAGGAAATATCCGGTCGAGTAATAGTGAGATAATTGAGCTTCTCAACCAATCTGCGATACCGACCTGGATTTTCAAATAATGCACCATCATCCATCAATAGTTTCTGATTCAGATCCATAGGAACATCAATCAGTTTGCCACCCAGCAAACATGCTTCCTCTAATATGTTAAGTACATATTTCCTCTGTAATAAACAAATATCCTATTTAGATCGAGCCACTTCAATTCTCAAGAAATACCTGAGTTTTTTCAAATCCTTAGTATGAAATCTATCTTCTAAGAATATTTTAACTTGACAATCCCCTCAGAATCATTTCCAGTAATCACAATATCATTTACATAGACCACCAATAGAATATATTTAGCATCCGTCTGTCTATGAAACACAGAATGATTTGTCTGACATCGAAGAAGACCAAACTCTAAAATTGCATGTGAAAACTTACCAAACCATGCTCTCAGAGACTACTTCAAACCATATAAAGATTTTTTTAATCGACATACACTCTTACCATACTCCCCCTGAACAATAAATTCAGGCGGCTGCTCCATGTATACCTTTTCAACCAAATCACCATGTAGGGAAAGCATTCTTGACGTCTAACTGAAACAAAGGCCAATCAAGATTAGTAGCCAAAGAAATTAAGACACAAACAGAGAAAATTTTGGCAACAGGAGAGAAAGTCTCCTCATAATCAACACCATAGGTTTGAGTAAAACTCTTTGCAATAAGCCGGGCTTTGAGACGTTCTACAGAACCATATGGATGAAATTTAACAATATACATCCAGCGACAACTAACAATTTGTTTACTAGGTGGTAAAGGAACGAGATCCCAAGTCCTATTATGATGTAAGGCATCCATCTTATCCTCCACAGCTTTCCTCCAATCCGAATCAGATAATGCATCATGTAAATACTTAGGAATAGATATATTAGATAATTGAGAGGTAAAACAAGAGAAGACAGGAGACAAGACATCATATGAAGTAAAATGAGCAATGAGTAACATATGAACGAGTACTTTTTCGAAGAGCAATAGGTAAAGAGTCTAAAGTACCTGATAGACCGGGATCAGAAGGCGGCAAGGAAGAAAGTTTGGGCACCTCAGTCGATGGTCGATGATGAGGATAGTATACACAAAGAGGTAAAGGAGATGGTAACACAGTGGACAACGGAATATCTGAAGATGAGGGAAGAGATAGTGGTACAAGAGATGACCAAAAGTCCAAATTCAAAGACTGAGAAGGTTCTGAAAAATATGAAACAGATTCCTCAAACGTGACATCGACACTAGTAAAGTATCGTCACAGAGAAGGATTATAGCAACGATATCCCTTCTGTGTGCGAGAATAACCAAGAAATACACATTTGGTAGCTCGAGGGTCAAGTTTACCAGATTCAGGACCCAAATTGTAAACATAATAGACATATCCAAAAATCTTAGGAGGTAGGAGAAATAAAGGCTTACCAGGAAAGAAGACAGAATATGGACTTTGCCCATTTAACACAGAAGATGACATACGATTAATAAGGTGACAAGCAGTAAGAACTGCATTACTCTAAAAATATAGGAGAATATTCATCTAAAATAATAAGGCACAGGTGACTTTTAACAAATGATGGTTCTTGCGTTCAGCAACACCGTTTTGTGGAGATGTGTAAGCACATTAACTCTGATAAATTATACCAGTTTTACTAAGATAAGCTAAAAAATGATCAGATTCATATTCTCGAGCATTATCAAAACGTAAAATACGTATACGACAACTATACTGAGTTTTTATTTTCTTACGAAAGGTCTCAAATATAGAAAATAATTCAAACCGAGCTTTCATAAAAACAACCAAGTCACATGAGAATAGTCTTCCACAAATGTCACAAAATAAGAATATTTATTATATGAAATATTCTTTATTGGACCTAATCATCAGAATGTACTAACTCAAATGGACTAGACACACGATTATTGACTTTAGACTGAAATGACACACGGTGATGCTTACTAAGTTGACAACCTTGACAAGACAAAGACGATATACAACTAAGACTGGGAACTTAGCGCTTCAGATTTAGGAGAGAGGGATGTCCAAGACGACAATGTCACTGAAAAGGAGACAACGAAGTCTGTAGGGCCTGAGTAGGTGAATCAAAATCAAAGTTATATAGGCCACCAGCTTCATGCCTCGTACTAATCTTCCTTTTCATCTTGAGATCCTAAAAGACACAATAAGATGGATAAAAGGTCACAGAACAATTAAGATAACTAATAATCTTACTAATGAAAAGTAAACTAAAAAGAAATTGAGGAACAAATAACACAAAAAATAGGGATATGTCAGGACTTAAGTGAGTAGTCCCAAGACCTGAAACTTTAGAACAAGTAAGAGTAACACTATGTATAGAAGTAGCAGGCTGATAAGTATAAAAAATATCAGATGCACCAGTCATGTAGTCAGAAGGGCCAGAGTCTATGATCCAAGGACTGTGAGTGGAGGACAATATACAAGTAGAAGTAGTACTTGACTGAGCAAAAGTAGCAGTGGAAAGAGATGGGATAGCCTGTTTCTAGGACAAAAACTGGGCATACTTATCTCGACCCAGTGTAATAGTAACTGATCCAGTGTCTGGTGGAGCTGACCGAGGTATGAAAGCAACAATAGAGGTATCATCCTGATAGGAAGCCTGATTCGTAGCACCAGAAGATTTTTCATGTAAATCCCAACAAAAATCAACAATGTGTCATCTATGACCATAGTGAGTATAGGAACGAGGTCCACTACGGCCCCCATGGCCACCCATACGACCTCCTTGACCACCACGACCACCACGTCCACCTTGATGACTATTACTGTGGCTACTAGAAATCACAAGAGTTGAGCAATCAGTGGAGACACCATGATCAGTCCCTGAAGGAGTAGACAATGTAGCACGCTGTAAACGAGAGAAAACCTCAAACAGTGATAGAAGACTAGAACTATTCAAAATATGAGAACGAATAGCCTCATATTCAGGTTTTAATCATACCAAAAACCTAACAACATTCAGGTCCTCCTGTTGCTTTTGCCAAACTGCTGCATCAGTAGTAAACGGATGGTAGGTCTTTATCTCCTCACAGACTCCCGAAACGTGAGAGTAATAATTCGCAAGGCTTAGAGTACTCTGCTCCAACCAGAAGTACTCCTTACACACCTCATAAGCACATGTAAAATTTCCTGTACCAGAATACATAGTGGCCAAGTGATCCCATATCTCTTTAGTAATATCAAGATAGAGAAGAGAAGAGCTAATACTAAGGTCAATGCTATTCAACAATAACGAGATAATCTGAGCGTCCTCTTGTTCTTATTGATCATACCCAGGAGTATTTTCTTTGGATTTATGATTAACCAAATATTTCTGAAAACTTTTGCCTTGAAGAAAGACTTAAACAGAGCGGGATCATAAAATATAATTAGTTCCATTGAGTTTAACGGAAGTCATGGGACTATTAATAATAATTGGAGAAAAGGAGGTAGGAGGCAAAGATGGAGCAATAACATCTTGTTTAGGTTCCATAATAATATAGCAAATAGTAAAACTGGAGCAAACTTATTGCTGGACAACTGATCGGAGCAAGCAAATAGTAAAACATGAGCAACCCCATTGCTGGGCAACTGAACGGAGCAATAAGAAGTTGCTGGACCGCTGAACTGGACAGGAGGAACTTGCTGGACAACTGAACTGGATTGGGAGACCTCTCTAGGCCTTTGAACCGGACAGGAAAAACAGACTGGCTCGCTGAATCGGGCAAACCAAGCTCACTGAACCGGAGCAAAGATAGAAGAAACCGGTCTGAGTCGGTGCAAAACTGCCTGAACCGGCTTAGAATGGATCAAACCGGGGTTGAACCGGCCTTGAATAGGTCTAGTTAGGGTCTGGACTGGGTTTGAACTAGATTCGATTTGGTCTGGACTTGGTTTGGTTTGGACCTTGGGCTGGACCAGGGCTGAACTG